AACTGGCATCCCTTGCTGACAGGAAGGGCAAGGCTGTCCCCTCCCCTCTGTTTACAGAAGGGGAAACCAAGGCCCCCGGGAAGAGCTCCGGTCAAGTCCTAGAGCCGGCCGCGGCCTGCCCACCACCACGTCTGGCCCTCCGCTCCACGAGGGTGTCTGGCCTGCACACCTTCCAATAAATGCAGACTTTGGCATCTGGCGGGGAGGGAAGCGCCCACCACAGTTCTCGCTCTGCTGGGCTGCCATCTGCCCGGCTCCCACAAGGGAGGGCATGCGAGGCGCCCTCAGGTCTCTGAGGTCGGCCTTTATTTGGAAGGCAACGGGGAGCCCTTAAACCGAGAAGCCGCCCTCTGGAGCCACACGGTCAGGGCAGCACTGGTAAGAGGCCGGGCGGCCCAGGGCATGCGCCCACTGCCCGGCTCCAGGCCTTTCCGTCATCGGCCCTGAGCTCTAAACCCGGAAGCCTGTGGAATCGCCCCCACGGCGGCTGACCGTTCGCCCACCTACATGAGCACACAGGACAGATGCCGCCGCCGGGGTCTTGGGGATGAGGACACCGGCAGGGAAAGGCTCGAGGCAAGGTGGCCGCGGTCAGCCAGCTGGTGCGCGGACGGCCACCCTGCAGCCGCATCCAGGGGGCGGCCAGCCCGGGCGAGGCTCCAGGGCCGGGCTGGCCGCATGGAGACCCGCAGCTCAGACGTCTGGGCCCTGCTCTCACCTGCTCCGTCAGTCCTTCCTCTCTGACCCCTCAGCCACCCCCACCGATCCCCCAGCCTCTGCTCAGTCTGCGCGGCCACAGGGCTTTGCATCTGTACCCACACGCTCGCGCTTCACCTTCTCCACCCCCCAGGTGCTGCTGCTGGGGGCATCCAGCCCTCCTGGGAGGGGTCTACCGCCCCGCAAGCCCGCCTTTCCCATGGTCTAATCTCACGGGGTGACGCTCCTGCAAGGCGGTCGCCCGCAGCGCGCAGCCCACGGGCCATGCCCTCAGGCCCAGCCCAGGGCGCCAAGTGCTCTGGCCACAGGCTGTGGACGTGCAGCGGGGCACGCTCACCACCCAGGCCCACAGGGCTCCGCACAAAGTGCAGACAGCAGCTGATGCTGCCCCCAGGGCTCGGAAAGGCCTCCGCCTCCTCCCTCTTCCCTGCTTTCGAATGCGGACTGGGGAGTCAGGGGGAGAGGGGTGTGCCTGCACTTGGTGTGTGGGGGCGCAGACCCCGCCCTCACCGCAGGCGCGCCCCCCGCCAGCCCAGCCCGGGGGCTGTGGGACACCTGTCCGGCTCTGCCAGGCCCCGGCTGCAGGGCTGTAGGGAGGGGGGCGGACCTGGGGGCAGTCATGGGCTCCCCCGCACCCCATCCCGCCCTCTTCCCACCCAGGCCTCCACTCCCGGCCCTCCAGCCCGGATGGGGGCGGGGCGGGGATGGGGAAGGGGTGCGGCGGCGGCCCGGGGCCCCCAGGCCCCGAGGCGGCGGCTCAGGGGGGCACGAAGGCCCCAGGCGGCGTGTCCGAACCGGAAGAAGGGGGCTCTCCGCGCCTGCGGGAGGGAGGGGACCTGTCCAGCCCCAGGCGACCTCGGCGCGGCGCGACCTCCGGGAAACGAGGTCGGGACACGTGCGGCCGGAAGGGGAGCGGGGGCGCGTCCCGGGGCCTCGGCGGCCGCGCAGACACACCCCCGGCGGCCGGGGGCGGGACGCGGAGGTCGTGGCGGGCGGCACGTCCGCGGGCGGTGGGGGCGCTCCGGGTGGGGAGGGGCCGGCGCGGGGCGGGGGGGCCGGGCTGCGGCGCAGGGACGTCCGGCCGCGCGCCCCCGGGTCGCGGCCGAAGGGGACGGGCGTGCGCGGGGGGGGGGGCCCAGGGCCTGGCGGACGCCCCCCGCCCCCGCCCCCGCCCCCCGCCCGGCGGCAGGCCCCGCGCCCGCGTTCACCTTGCGCGTCGCCGCCGCTGGTCAGCACGCCGATGGCCTTGCCGGCCCCGGACGTGCGCAGCTTCTCCAGGTCCACGGTGGCCATGGTGGCGGCGAGACGGGCCGCGCGCTCCTGCCGGGGCCGCGCACTGTCGCCGGGCCCGCCCCGCGCCTCTGTCCCCGCCCCGCGCCACGTGTGAGGTCACGGCCGGGGGCGCCGGCGGGGCGGGGAGTGCGCGCCGGGGCGGGCCCCGGGCGCGGGTGTGACGCCAGGCGGCGTCCCCTCCGCCTCGGCCGGGGACCCTGAGACCTCGGCCCGACCCGGCCGTCTTGTTCAAGGCCCTAAACCTGTCGGATGCAGCCAACGCGCCGCGTTATCCGGGGTCGGCGCCGGCAGCCCAGGTCCCGACCGCCGGCCCACAGCTGACGCCCCCTCCGCACGCCCCGAGCACTTGCAGCTCCAGGCCCCGCTCTGTTTTAACTCTGCTTTTCTAGAAGTTGGTAGCAGGAGCCCAGGGACCCTTCCCTCCTGTTCAGGCACCCAGGGAGGGTCTGCAAGCTTTACCCGGGGGGCCACTGAGGGTGCGTCCGCTTGACCCGGATGCTGCACGGAATTTAGAGGAAAGCCAGCCACCTTTCGTTATTCGTTTATTCCGCAAGTATCTGCTGGACCCTTGGAAAACCGACATCACGTGGGGGTGGGACGCGGGCCAGGACCGCGGAGTCCGCCTTGCATGGCCCGTGGGTCAGTCAGGAGGAATGATGGAGCCCCTCTTGTGAGCCAGGCCCCCACGAGTGGGGACCCAGCCAGGATCGCAGAACAGACTGGCCCGGCCCTCAGGGTGCCTGGTGGTGAGAATCCCTGGGGAACCAAATCAAGGGCTTGGGAAAAGCACCCATCCCGCGGGAGCCCTGACCCAGGGCTGACCTTGGGAGGCAGGCCCCACTCTTTCTTTCTTTCTTTCTCTTCCTTCCTTCCTTCCTTCCTTCCTTCCTTCCTTCCTTCCTTCCTCCCTCCCTCCCTCCCTCCCTCCCTCCCTTCCTTCCTTTCTTTCTTATGTTTTATTTATTTCTGAGAAAGAGAGAGAGCAGTGAAGGGTCAGAGAGAGAGGGAGACACAGAATCTGAAGCAGGCTCCAGGCTCTGAGCTGTCAGCACAGAGCCTGACACGGGGCCCGAACCCATGAACCGTGAGATCATGACCTTAGCCGAAGTCGGACACTTAACCGACTGAGCCACCCAGATGCCCCAGGCCACACTGTTTCTTGAGCTGAGTGGTGACATGCTGTGTTTGCTTTATGGAAACTCAGTGATTCGTGCATCATCTTTATGTGTAGTGCATTCTGATAAACGGTTTGCCTAAAAGTATTCTGCTGCTGGGGGAGGGGACACGGGAGGTATCAGTCGAGGAGGGCAGAGGTCGGCTTGCAGGAGGAGTGAGTCCCAGAGCCCCCCTCCTGCCCAGCACCTGCCTAAGGATTCTGCCCTATGCGCTTAAAACCTCTGCCAAGTGTTTGTATCACAAACAAGGACAATAATGTGACGATAGTGATGAATAAAGAGAGTAAGAAAAAGCATCTTTAATTTCTTTTCCCAAAAAAAGAAATGTGGGGAAAGAGTAGAGGTTCGGGATCAGCAGGGGGGCAGGGGGCACGGGGAGCAGCGAGTGTGAACACAGACTCCCCCTCTTATTTAGCTGTGGAAGTAAGAATGCAGTGAGCTCTGGGCCCAGGACAGAGTGTGAACATCCTAGTTCTGCACACGTGTGTGTGCCTGTGTGTGTGACTTAAAACACATGGCTTAGCTGTGAAAAGCTAAGTGGCAAACACAGGGCAAACGCTGGGCCAGCAAAGGCCATTGTAGCCCCTGTTGGCTCAGGGCTCCCAGAGACGTGGAATGGTCTCTGAGCCCCCGCCTGCCCATCTTCCTGGCGGCCTCAATACCGTCACTGGGTCACAAAGTGTCCAAAGCCTGGAGGCCTGTGTGAAGGAACATGCCTTTAGTATCTCTTTCTGAGAGCCGGGCCCTGAGAGTGGCTTCACAGGCCGTCTGGTTCCAGATCTCTCAGGTTGCAGCCAGCCGGGGCTGCCTCATCTGCAGGCTCGACTGGGGCCGGAGGGGCTGCGTCTGGGGTGACACTGCACGTGGCTGTGGACGTGGCTGCAGGTGCAACCTCACCACAGGGCGGTTTACGTGTGTTCAAACACAGGCCTGGCTTCCCCAGAGAAAGGGCTCCCAGGGGAAAGCCACAATGATCCTGACGATCTAACTTCAGGAGTCACACACGGCGGGACCAGCGTGGTCTTTTTTTTTTTTAAGTTTATTTATTTATTTTGAGAGAGAGAGAGTGCGAGCCAAGGGAGGGGCAGAGAGGGAGAGAGAGAGAATCCCAACCAGCAGTCAGCACAGAGCCAGACACAGGGTGTGATCTCCCGACCCTGGGATCATGACTGGAGCCGAAATCAAGAATTGGATGCTTAACTGACTGACCCACCCAGGTGCCCCTGGCACATTCTATTCGTTAGAAACTAGTCACTAGGTTCAGCCCACGCTCACGGGGAGAGGTATGAGGCATAAAGCTCCCCTTCTTGAAGAGATGGATACCAGAGAATGTGGTGACATGTTTTAAAGCCACCACCAGCCCCTTCCAGGGAAGGCTTGGGCGAGACAGTCGCTGGGGCCGTGTGGGCACGTCCTAGGTGTCAGGCGGGCATGTAATTGGGGAAAGGGCTGGTCTTTCCTGCTGCCAGGCACACTAAGGGCCCCCTCTGGCTCTCAGAAGATCAAACACACATCCTGACTGCACAGAAAACATTTGATGGTTTCTGACATCAAGTGTGCCTGGATTTTCTCCCACCAACCCCTTCTCGGGCACCAACTGGGTGGACAAAGACTTAATTCTTTGGTTCTGACACTGAATTCCCCGGTTGGGGGCAGACTTCACAGGGCTGTCCCCACTTCAGAGGCCAGTCACCAGTTAGTGGGTCCCCAGGCCACCCACACTTCCGTCTCACTTGGCCACGTGTTGGGGGTTGCAACGACTCCCTTTCCTCAGGCTTGATAAATTGCTAGAACAGCTCACACAGAACTCTGGAGAGCACTTTACTTACTATGGTTTATTAAAGGGTACGATGCAGGCACAGATGAACAGCCAGGGGAAGAGGTCCCCAGGGCAAGGTCCAGAAGGGTCCCAAGTGCAGAAGCGTCTGTCCCCACGCAGTTAGAGCGAGCCGCCCTCCGGGAAGATGGGTGCACTCATCACCCCAGAAGTTCTCCAGCGTGGAGGTCTTGGGGAAGTCCCCAGCACGTTAGCACAACTGATGGAACCACCGACTGTTGGGAATTAATCTCCGGCCCTTCACGTCTCTCGGGGTGGGGGGTGGGGGTGGGCTGAAAGTTCCTGCTCTCTGATCACTGGTTGCTCCTGGTGACCAGCCGCCATCCTCCAACAGTCTGCGCACTGGCACATTCTCAGGCGATGGTCATGAGTAACAGGTGCTCCTCGCAGCCCCGTATGTGAGGAAATTCCTGGGTTTAAGAAGCTCTTGTGTCCGGAATCTGGGACGAGAAATGACAAATACACATTTCCTGTTGTCACAGAAGGGAAATAGGAGGCTAGGCAGTCACAATTCCACCAAGTCAGGTACAGATAAGAATCGGGGCCACTCACCCGCCCGTCTGCCCCCAAACGAAGAAGACGGGATGGTGGCGGGGACGTCTTTCCGAGTAGACAGCACTCAAACTGTGCCCCGAGGTCTGCTGCCCCAGCCTGGGTGGCGGCCATCACCACCAGGTACACAGCTGTCATACCGGGATCTCTGTCACCATCAGTCCCTGGTGGGTCTCAGGGCCACTGGCTCCCAAACCTGGGCGGGGCCCACCTCCTCGGAGCCTCCTGATCCAGCGCCCGAGGGACGCTCTGCACGAGTGGCAATGGCATCACTCTGCCCTGACGCCCGGAGGAAGATGTGCCGAATACAGAATCGTGGGCGAGAAAGCATCTTCCCACAGGGGTGCGGCGGCGCGTTCCATTGCTCTGTTCCCTCCAGCCTCGCTGCTGAGAAGTCACAGCCACTCTGCCGCCTCCTCATTTGCACACGACCCGGTGTTCTCTCTCCAGAAGCTCGTAGAAACTTCCTTTCCCAGGGGTGGTGGAATTCCACCAGGAAGTGCCTCTCCCGGGTCTAGTCCGGCCTCCCGCCGCGGGGCTGGGCCCGCCCTGCCCCCTCCCAGCGCCGAAGCGCATGTTTTCCCTCCGGGACAATTTCCGGACTTATTTCACCAAAGACTTCTTCCTCTCTGATTTCCCCTTTCCTCTTCCTAGACCGCCCGCACTTACAGCCTGGAGCTCTGGTAGGGGTGGAGCCGATCGCCTTATATATGATCTGTACTTTCTTATTTTTAGCTCGTTCCTGCTGTACTTTCAGAGAGAGCTCTTTCCCTCGACATCCCAATCCCCTGTGAAGTTCTTTGTTTCTGCTGGCGTAGTTACGGTTTCCAAGAGCTGTTGTTCTCTGAATGTTCCTTTTTTTCAAGTTTATTTCTTTATTTTCAGAGCGGGGAGGGGCAGAGAGACAGGGAGCATGAGAACACCGATCAGCTGTCTGTCGACGCGGGGCTGGAACTCACAGACCCTGAGACTGTGACCTGAGCCAACACCAAATCGGGCGCCTCACCGACTGAGCCACCCCGGCGCCCCCCGGTGTTCTTTTAACGGAGTCTTACTTGCCGTTTCATAAACAGAGGGCCTAAGGATCTTGCTGCTTCGTTTAATTGTTTACCGTTCTCTCCTCCCTTCAGTCTCTTGTTTCAGCCGTTCAGCTTCATTTCTTTTTGTTTGTCTTGGTCTCAGTCATGTTAGCGGCCTTCTGACTGTCTGGGGACCCTGGGCCGTCTGTGACGATGCAGTGAGACCTCTGGCTGTGACAGGTGATTTACAGTGTTCAGCCTGGTAAGGGAGCTGGAGGGGCCGACTGTCAGGGACCCCCCCCCCCCCCCCCGGAACCATTGTCCCTGTCAGAAGAAGAACCTTCCCAGCTCTTGCCTGGAGCTGATGAAGAGGGGCTGGGCCCCGACATTCTGCCTGTGGTGACCTGGCCACGCCTGTTCCGTGTGGAGCCGCTGCCTCGACTGTTTGTGGCTCTCTCGGGCCCAGACGCTCTGCCTCCGCCTCCCGAGAACAGACATCCCGACCTCTGCTGGGGTGACGGAGGGGCCGTGGGGCTGCACCCGCTTCTCGGCCAGCTTGCCCCTCCCTCCACTGTGAGGGCCCCCAGCAGGCACAGCTGCTGAGGCCCCGGAACCACCCAGCGCGGGCCTGGCCATCTTCTGAAGGCCGCGGCATGGAGGGTGGCTTGCAGACATCTTGGAAGACCTGTGCCCACCTTCCCTGGCCCTCAACTTGTCCAACCTGGGTGTCTGCACCAGCTGCAGAAGCATCTGGAACGCCTGCACCTCAACCACAAGAAAGACCCCTCCCAGGGCTGCTGGTCCCTGGCTCGTGGTCTGCAGGCCACCAGGAGACACGGGTGCTGCAAATGGGGTACAGAGTGTGGCAGAGGAGCCGGGGACCTACCCGGGGAGGCGGCGTGGGTGGACCGTGAGTGGCCAGGTGGCTCCTCAGGAGGGTCGGCAGCAGCCGCGGCTGCAGGCCGAAGTAGGGGCTGTGATCACCTACTTCCAGACACCTCAGGGTCTGTCGGTGGGGTCTCGTCTTTGCTCCTGGGCTGGCTTTCCCAGTTCCCTGGGGTGGGTTTCACGAGAGATCAGTAAAAGGGCCCCTTGTGCCCCCCACCCCATCCCCTCCTCTGATGGGTCTGCAGGAAGTCTTCTCAGGGAGGGGAAGGAAGGGAGGGGGCAGAGACAGTGGGGGCGGGGAGCGGCTGTGGAGGCAGGAGCCGTGCTGGCCAGTGGTGATGGGAGAGAAGGGGAGGGGTCTGGGGGGTGTTCAGGGGGCCCAACCGGAAAGTCTGGGGACGTAGGGCGGGACGGTGGCCGTGCCAGCCAGGGCCAGATGTGCCCGCACAGAGGTGTGCTGCCCCGCTCTCCTGAGAACCCGCAAGGCTGGCAGGGCCACTGCCCCGCCGCCTCCCGGGCTGCCTCTCACCTGCGTGTAAGGTCAGCGCCCGTGGGCAGCAGGAGGGCCGTGCAGAGAACAGGGAGCGAGGCCCCAGCTCCGCGGTGGGAAGCGCCGCCCGAACCGTGGGACGGCCAGGCGGTCCTCGCGCATTCATTCACTCACTCGTCCACCCTTGCACTCCTGCACAGGCTTTGTGGGGGTCCGCAGGCCTGGGCTCCGGGTGAGGGGTGGGGGTGGCCCCCACCCACGGGCTCCCAGCCCTAGGCACCCATGCCTGCCACGAGGTGGGTGTGCCTTTCAGGGCTCAGACTTTCACAGTTATTTAAAAACAGTCTGAATGACGGAACTACTTTACAAAGGAAACGTCACCTAGGATCCCTCCTCTAACAACTTGTCTTCACCGTTCAGTGTTTTCTTCCAGTATTTCCCTCCCTCTGCACATGTGCACACGCCCATACACACTCATATGTGTGTACATACCCACACACTCACATATGTACATGTATGTATACACATACACATATTCTTTTTGCATGTACCCTATGCATGTACATTCTGTATACCTTCTCTCTTTACATATATACATACTCCTTATATATATGTACTCCAGGTATGTATGTGTGTATACATGGATATCATACATGCAAATATAAATATACAAGTAAGTAAATTAAACCTAAAGAACACTTATCTGTGTGCCCACCAGCCTCGTACGTAACATTTTTACTGTCTGGATGATATCCCAATCTGCAGCTACAGCATTATTTCTCAAGATATTCCTTGGATACTGAATGCTTGGTTCATGTTCAAAGTCAGATTCTGTAATTCTACAGGCCCTTGCCAAACGCCCCTGCACCGGCTCTGGTCGGCCTGGGCTGCAGCGTGTACAGCACAGACCTGCCCCGGCACACACGGTCTGGGGGCAGCAGGCAGCGAGCCAGGGACGAGGAAGGGACAGTCACAAAGGGAGTGGGCGCCGAGGGAGGGACAGAGCGTCCTCATCGCACGGGAACAGCTTGCGCCGGTGGGGTGTTTCTCTCTGGGGGGGGGCTAGGACGCCCGGTTGGGCTGCGTGAGCATGTCGTGCACCTTGGGGCCGGTTTGCGGGTGGCGGCTGGGGAAACTGCTCGTGGAGCCGAGCGGCTGGTCCCGGTGGCCCCTGTGCGATGCCTCCCAGACGGGCTTTGAGTCCCGAAAAAATCGGTGGAGGTGGGGCCCTCAAACCGCGCTCAGAGCAGCAGCGCTGCAGTCGGTGACCCCGCTCCCGTCCCAGGTGCGCGACGATGCATGAGTTCCGCTGGTTCAGGTTACAGGACCCACGACCCGCCCCCCCCCGGCCACTCACACAGGCCCGGGCACATCAGGGCAGGCGCAGGGCCGGAACCCAGACCCCTTGTTCCTAAGTTAAGAATTTCAAAACGTGACAATGAGCCTCCAACCTCGCGCTGGCCGGCCCACAGGCCTTTGTTGCCTCTTTGGATCAGAAGAGCTGATGCTGATATTCTGGCCCAACCACGTCCCCGCTAAAGAGACAACAAGGTAAGGGACTTCTTCCCGGGGACCACCACGCAGGGGGAGGTCGGGGCAACCCTGAACACAGCCCCCAGACGAGAGCAGGTGAGGGACCCAGGGCGGGCGGAGAGGACACCCAGAGGCCGAGGCACCGGGCCCAGCTCCCAACGCGACCCTTGCTGAGGGCGGGCCAGGTGATCAGCGTTCGACAGGGGGCCCAGCGCCAGACGTGATGGCATCTGGAGATGGGTCTTACAGAGGAGATTTGGTTTAAATGAGGTCACCAGGGTGGGTCTGAACCCAATGTGACCGGGTCCCTATGACACGAGCAGACCAGGCACAAATAGACGCAGAGGGAGGGCCAGGAGGTGAGGATGGGGGTGGGGGGGAGGTCATGGAGCCAGCCCCGCCCCCACCTGGTCCCGGGATGTCCCGCCTCCAGGACAGAGAATGAAACAGAGCAGGGAGCCTGAGCCGCCACCCCCTCCCCCCCACCGCGGGACAGCAGTGCGGCCGATTCCAGCACAAACACGAACCGCTCACTTGCTGGGCCCACACATGGCTCAGGGGAGACAAAGGCAGACGCTGTTCCAGCACCAGACGGGCAAGACAGACTTCCGCCCCCACAGACAGACCAGAAGGAGTAGACACAGGGTCGCTGCAGGAATGTCAGCTCCCGGCTGGGCCCCCCGCCCCCCCCACTTCTGTTACTGTTAATGGTTCCAGGCGTGGCCCAGATAGGGTTCCTGGGGAGGCCAGCGGGGACAGACTGAAGAGGCGGGCACACAGCCCTGCCCGGCCCCCTCACCCAGCCTGCCTGCTCGCGGCCCTCTGCACGCCCTCCACGCGCACCACCGGGGGGGGGGGGACGGACAGGGTGAGCGAGCCGGGCCTCGTGTGGGCGCCCCCTCCCAGCCCCGTCCAGGAATGTGACCCACCCTCCGAGCTAAGTCCACGCGTCCCCACGGCCGCCCGCTGCCCGGCCAGGCCTGCAACAGCTGCCTGCCTGCTCTCAGACACCAGTGTCCACACCGCTGGGCGGCCCTGTTTGAACAACCGACTCAACCAAGGGTCATGCGACACTTACCCCCCGCCGCAGCGTGCTGGTCAGCCCCCCGCCCCCCCGCCCGGCACTGACCCAGCCCTCAGCACTGCTGTCCTAGGGGGGCCTGCCCCTTCCCGCCCCAGTCCGGACAAGGGGCCCTGGGGGTCTCCAGAGTCGCTGGGTCACAGCCAGACCCCTGAGGGGCTGGGCCGTGGCACCCTCTTCCTGCTGTTGCTGGGCTTTCCTGGGGTGGGACGCAAGCCGCCGTCCGAGTCAGCACACGTGTCAGCTCTGCGGCCCACCCGTGGCAGGGCCTGTGACCACCCCTGCCCTCCCCGTCCTGGCGTTCTGCCACGGGGCCTCTGCAGGCGGGGGGCTCTGGTGGCACTGACACCTTCCGCCTACACCAAGCCGGCGGCCGTGCCGGACCCGGGGTGCTGGGCCCCAGGCCCCCCGCTGCACCCGACTTCTGACCGTGGCAGGTGCCGTGAGGAAGGTAAGGCCCGGTGCCGTCCTCGCCGCCTGCCGCCCCCCACCCGCCTGACCTCCGGCCCGTCCCCCAGCCTGCCAACTCCCACCGCCTCGTCCTGCTTCACGCTCCGCAGCGGTCACCCGCTGAGGTCACCTGCCTCTTGCATGTGAGCCGTCCCTCCCACCGGAGTACCCCTCTCGGACCCCCATGCCAGGGCGACGCGAGCCATAGGGAACACCCACAAGAGAGCTTTTTCAGATAAATGTGTAGATGAGGAGGTGGCACCGGAGGGGACATATCACGACGAGGAAACAGACGTGCCAAGGCCCTGGGGTGCGGATGAGCTGGGCCCTAGGAGGGCCGGAGGAGGTGGGCGGGCCCAGACCTCATGCTTGGGCTGTACTGGGGGCTCTGGGGAGCTCTGGAGTGCTCCCAGCGGAGACAGAGTGCTCTGTCCACTTCTAGGGCCATTCCCGCCCGCGGGCGTCTCCCTTCCGGCCAGCGTGATGGACACTTCAGGCACCAGAAATGCAGGGGCGCGGAGCCCCCAAGCAAACACCCCGCCTGGAGAGCGCGTCGAAACCCACAGATGTGGTTTTTATTTCAGTGCACACGTTGCTCTGTGTGTCCAAGAAGATGGGCCGTGTCTGCGAGCCGAGTGTGGGCGACGCCTGGACCTTTCAGTGTTTCTTGGTCCTGATGGGAGAGGGGTCAGCTCGCAGCTGAGGCCGCGTCCACGGGGGCCTCCCCTCCCCCAGGGCTCCCCGCAGACCCGCCGTCCTGGGTCAGGAGGGGAAGGTGGGTGCCTCGGCCAGCGGGCGGGACATGCTCTGGATGGCCCACTGCAGGATGCCGTCGAAGGAGTGCTGGAACGCAGGAGAGCAGAGGACTAGGGACCCACCAGAGCCCCCAGGGGACAGTGCACACCCCCTGGGCTCCAGCGTCCCCTGGAATCGTGAGCGTCCTGACCCTCCTATTCACGGGTGGGGAAACTGAGGCTTGAAGAACACAGGACACGTCAGGCGAGGGAGGACTCCGCCTCCGGTGCTCTACCATAACATCCTGCAAACCAGGCCCAGCCTCCATGGCTGCTCTGCCTCCGAGGTTCGAGGCAGGGCCAGTCTTTCCATCTCTGTCCTCCCACAGGACGGGGGGGGGGCATGGGGAGGCCCAACATTCCAGCATAATGGGGTGACTGCCTCCTTTCTCCAACGGTATCGGGCGACTGCTCTGCCAGAGCCACAGGGCCAACATCCAGTGCCCGGGGTCACCCCTAAGGACTCCTGTGTGCCTGGGACCCACCCGTGCCCAGCCCCCCACACTGGGCAGGGCCCCACAGCCCAAGGGGGACACGGGTGGGCCACCTGGGTGTGGAAATGGCTGGCGGAGTCTGACCTCTTGCCAAAAGAAGATGGAACCCCCAAAGCCCCATT